CCAGCAACGGGAGACCAGGAATCCGGTGGAACTGCTCGGGTCCGAACTGCTTATGCCCCTTCTGCGGCTCATCGAGACGGACTTGGCCGCGCAGGCCCTGGAAGTCCTCGAAGAACCAATGACCATGGCTGGTGGTCTGGCGGCCAAACACGTTCTGCGCATGAGCATGCATTCGCGTTCTTTGACCAGGGACGTCAACTCGGTTGCCACCGTCTTTGGTGTCCCAGAGCCCTCTGGCTGGTGCGTCGTCCAGTCGGACACACTTCGCGGTACCTGCCGCTCGAACATGATGGCGGTGTTCGACACATGCTCCATGCCCACCCGCCCGTCCCGCATCGACTTTGAGCCCGAAGTCGAGGCTCTCGCTTCACCACGCCCGCTGCAGGAGGATCTCGGGGGTCTTGTGCAGAACCTGCATGACTTGACGACCTTCTTCCAAGAAGACGAGCGGTCCTCGGAGATGCCAGCGTTCACCATTCCAAACCGGCGACTGGAAGCCCGGGTCGCGGCCATTCTGGCAAAGTCCATCTCGTCTGAGGCCGTCAACGACGTTCCCCAGACGCCTTTCCGTGACGTTTTCCGGGTCGGAGCGATGAGCCCGGCAGAGGACTCTGACGAATACTCTGATACTGATTCTGAACTCGACGCATTCATTTTTGATTCTCCCGTCACAAGTATTTACCGTAGTGCTCCTAATGGGTCGCGTTTGCACTGATCTCGGTCTCATGGATGTATATATATCACGACGCTGTAATTTAGATTAATGACGAATAAATGTACCATACACACGTAGGACGGGCGTGGACTGCGTCGACGCCGGCGTGGAGGCGAGATCGGGGGCTGTGCTGGCCACGTAAGCGTTGCAGCCTAAATAGGTCGAGGCTCTGTGCTGTTTTCACGTTCACTTCAATCCCTTCAAAATGTTCATCGTCAACTGGTTCTGGGATGTCCTTGCGCAACTTGGTACCTCTCGCTGTCCTTATTCCCAGCGGCTCCTGAGCTTTCCTAGGGCTTATGCACAAGAATGCCAAAATTCTCTTCCTTGGTCTAGATAACGCTGGAAAAACGGTGTGCTACGCTCACCCTCTTTGCCAGCCCGGCCGCTGACCATTGGCCTATCAAGACCCTTTTGCACATGCTTAAAAACGACAGGCTCGCTACCTTGCAGCCCACCCTCCACCCAAGTGAGTGCTGGCGATTCGTTCCAAGGATTGCGTTGACCTGTACGCAGCGTCGGAGGAGCTTGCCATCGGTAATGTTAAATTTACGACTCATGATCTCGGTGGACATCAACAGGGTTCGTGGTCTTGTCTATGTGCTGTGTGTATATTCCAACGCTCCCTGCCAACCCAGCCCGCCGACTCTGGCGCGACTATTTCCCCGAAGTGGATGGCATTATCTTCCTCGTGGACAGCGCCGACTTTGAACGGTTCTCTGAATCCAAGGCAGAGCTCGACGCTTTGTTGGCGATTGAGCAGCTGGCGAAGGTGCCCTTCCTGATCCTCGGAAACAAGATTGACGCACCGGGGGCGGTCAGTGAGGAGGAGCTCAGGCACCATCTCGGACTGTACCAGACCACAGGAAAGGTGCGCATGGTCCTCGTTATCCCGTCCCCTTGCTCATGCTCCGACTGCAGGGGAAGATCCCTCTCAACGACATCCGGCCTATCGAAATCTTCATGTGCTCTGTCGTTCAGAGGCAAGGGTATGGAGAAGGTGATTTCGGTTTTGCACGTCTCTCTCTGCCATCCACTCATTCCGTTTCCTCTAGGGTTCCGATGGGTGTCGCAATACGTCGGTTGTTCTTGACAACGATTTATGTTCTGACTGATCATCCACATAGATTTGAACGAAGCGACGAAGCACGCGCGGAAGTTAGAGCACAGCTGTTTTTCGCTGGGACGGACGCAGGATTTCTCTTGCTATGAGTACATGGCCAGAAAAATGATTTTATACATACATGCTTCCAATCAATTTTTGTGTATTTTACGGCATGCCAGCTTTTGTCTCATTCCGCCATGTCTTGGTTGCGTCCATAGCTCTTCGCGTCGGTCTCATCTTGTATAGTGAATGGCACGACGCCCATTCGGTCGTGAAATACACGGACATCGACTACCGAGTCTTCAGCGATGCAGCCCGTTTCCTTCTTTACCCAGCTGGCGTTGAGAACCAAGCTCAGGGGCCGCTGAAGCTCGCTGTTGGAGAGTGCGCCAGTTTGTCTCTTCGTCAATCCGCAGGAGCCAATCTTCTCATCTAGTCCGTATACTCGGGAAACATATCGTTACACGCCGCTACTTGCGCTACTGCTTGCGCCGAACGAATGGGTCCATCTCTCGTTTGGCAAATATCTCTTCGCCGCATGCGATATCTTCAACGGCGTGCTGATCTATGACCTTCTCCTCTCTTTCGTTATCCCTGCCTCGCCGTCCACACCGTTCACGCGCGAAAAAGCAACTCGCGTCGCGACAATATATAGCGCGCTGCATCTCCTCAACCCGCTGGTCTTCACCATATCCACACGTGGCTCGTCGGAGTCTGTCCTATCTCTGTTCATACTGCTCACTCTATCTGCTGCACTCAAAGGCGGGTGGGATGTCGCTGCAGTCATGCTTGGGTTGAGCGCACACTGGAAGATATATCCCGTTATCTACGGTGTAGCTTGCCTTGGTGTCATCGGCGGGCCTGCAAATACTCCAGGATGGAAAGGGTACTTGCGAACCTTGCTCAACAGTCGTACAGTTCGTTTTGCGGTGTTGAGCGCCTCCACTTTCCTCGCTCTGGGTGCAGGCTGCTATCTCGTGTCCGTCCTCTCTTTCCCTTACTATCACCTCTGTTCTAAACGGAATATGACAGCTGGGGGTACCCATTCCTCTACGAATCGTATCTGTACCACATCCACCGCCTCGACCACCGGCACAACTTTTCGCCTTATTTTTATCTCATCTATCTGACCTATCCGTCGCTTGAGGGTGCACCGCCGGACCTCCCGTTCTGGAATCGCATCCTTCGGTCGCCACTGACAAGCTTTGTCCCTCAAATGGTGCTCGCCCTTGGCACCGGCCTCGCCTTTGGCCAGCGAAAGGACGACCTTGTGTTCGCGTGGTTCGTGCAAACCGTTGTTTTTGTCGTCTTCAATAAGGTGTGCACCTCCCAGGTACGTGATCCTCTCATCCTCCTTCTGCGGAAGCATGACAAGTGGTTATAGTATTTTCTATGGTACCTCCTCCTGCTGCCGCTACTCCTCCCCCGACTATCCATCTCACGTTGGAAAGCCGTCTTATATATCATCGTCTGGGCAGCGACGCAGGTATTGTGGCTTTCGGAGGCGTATAAACTGGAATTCTTAGGCCAGGACGTGTTCTTCGGGCTGTGGGTGCGAGGACTTATCCATGTCATCGGCAACTGCTGGGTGCTTTCTGGTATTATGGATGGGTACAATGTTTCCAAAACCCATACGTCTTAATCCATCAAATCTCCTTTGCGGATATGGAGAGGAGTTTCCCTGCCTGCAAAAATCTTCAATGCGCGTTTCTCAAGAATACCAGAATGCTGGTATGGATGCTACCTTTACTTAGTGCGATCAGATCTTGTAACACAACGTGCAACACCGTAGATTGCCAGAGTTACACTGTGTGCCCCGCCTCGCCGTGCGCTCCTTGGAGGTCTTGCCGATGAAAAAGAATTTAAGGCTCTGCGACACTACAATGCAAGCTATGAAGGAAGCTTCGAAGGATCGTGCAGAGTGCTAAAAACGATGGCATCACCGTGCCCCCCGCGCTCGTGGAACTCGCTGAGGAGCGCACCTCGACGGCACCGCGGTTTGAATGCGTCGAGGGTCGCCGGCGCGAGATTCCCCCTAGGCGAGTTCCACGAATCGAGCCCACGAGCTGTGCGAGTGGTAGCGAGCGAGCGCGGGGATCGAGCCGAAGGCGAGGGAAGCGAGCTGTGCGAGCGTGGGCGAACATTTCGAGCCGAAGGCGACGATGGGCGGGGGAGCGAGCGAAAGGCGAGCGTGGTCGAGATTTTGGCGGGGGAGCGCGAGTGGGCGAGCGAAAGGCGAGGGTGGTCAAGATTTTGGCGGGGGGCGAGCGGAAGGCGAGGGTCAAGTTTCGAAGAGCAGCGGGAGCTGTAGGCGATTCTATTCAAGATTTCGACGAGGGAGCGCAACTGGGACGCGCCAAAGGCGGGCTGGTGCACATTTTGACGAGGGAGTGGCGCCAATTGTAGGCGCGGCAAGCCCCGAGCCGTGGTGAGCCTGGAAAACGGCCGTGACATTGCCACGGCCAGACGGTGCGCATCATTTCATCACGCTGGGTTAACCACGACCACGAAATGCACATCAGGACCCCTCGGGCGATCTGGGCTCCCTCTGCGTGTTCCCAGGCTCTCGATGGGACGTCCATCCTGGGGTAATCGCAGAGGAAGCCCGACCGTACCCGGGGGAAGCGCTACAATGACTGGGGCAAGGCCGATGAGCGCCACGGTGGTGTACGCCGGGCGGGCGAGCGTCGAGACGCACCGAGCGGCGGGGTCGCCTTGCGAGTGATCGTTAGCGCGCCGTCGGCGGGCTGATGCAACTTTTGCAACAAGAGGATGCTGCGGCGGTCCGAGGGCGTCGAGCCGTCCTGAGCGCAACACTTTCCCGGTGTTTTCCCGGGAAAGCTGGTGAGAGGCGAAAGGTGCCGGGAAACCTGGACTGAGCGGACGAATATTTCAACATATTTTTTATAGACGCCCGATGCCATGTACATTAAATTTCAAAGGGCAGGTTCCGTATTTTGAATGGCGTGTTTTCTATGGCAAAAAAGTCAGGTCTAGTCTTTGAAGGGCATGGCCGAAGATTTGAATGGCAGAATCTAAAGGTCACGCAATTCGTAGTGCCTGGACGAAGATTTGAAGGGCGTTGAACCTCAAGCTTCAAGGTCGAACTTTTGAAGGGCAAGATTGAATGATGCTCGAACTTTTGAAGGGCAAACATGCCAAAGACTGAGACAAAAGGAATGGCATCACGGTGGCTCGAACACCGGACCTTCAGATTTGAGAACGTTCTTCTTCAGTCTGCTGCTCTCCCAACTGAGCTATGACGCCGATGAGAACTGGCCCCAGCATGGGATTATAGCCAGAAAGGCGTATCCTATTGGCGGGCTTTCGTTTGAGCCTCCCCGAGTTTGCAGTACGGACGGCGGCTCAGTTTTTTGTCCACAAGGACCACCGGCCGCATGACTAATTTTGGAGCTACACAACCGGAGTAGAAGCTCGACCTCAACCCTGCCTACCAAGCCAAGTAAGCCAAGGTGCAAAGGAAGATTCAATGCGTCGTACCGCGGTAAGCGCACAATATCATCAACCAAGCCAAACATATGGAGATCAGCATCCAAGAAGTATCAACAATCCAATGTGTCTATAATCCAATGCTCTACGAAGGGACGATGGAGCGACTGGCCGAGCGAAGACATCTGCTGGTCTGATCGCACACCTGATCACCGAGCAGATTGTAAGTTACATCGCCGAGTCTAGAATCTGAACATGCCTCTTGATTCAATACATGTCGATAAATAGACAGACGGAAAACGGCTGGAACTGGACGGGCATCCGATTGCGGAGGTCAAGCTTGCATCCGTGTATGTCCAGAACGCAGTGCGCGCAGTGTAATCCGATGAAACGGAGCTACCCCATCTCGGGGAAGAGCCTAGAGGTTTCCAGCAACGCGGACGGAACTCAGCGAGGATCCAGGCCCACCAGAAACGAGGGAAGTCCAACGCATTGCACTTTCCAGAATCGGGGAAACAACACCACCAGATGGGTTTAAATGTTATAGCAAAGGTCTAGAATTCCGCTGGAGGGATGTGTACTGACAAGAAATCTAGGAACCGTCCGCATGACAGAGCTAGAGAAGATCCTGCCAACCTCGTGCGGGACGAGGCCGACCGGGAGGAGGCAAGGAACTTGACGGAATCCGATCGTGAATTCACCGATCTTGGTGTGACTAATAGCGCGGGTCACACCGCGTCGCTCCGAAGCCCTCAGCGTTGCAGGGTGAATGCTGAGGCCAACACTCACCCTGCATTTACCTTACCATAATACCAAGGAAGCCAAGAGGAATCTTGAAGCCACTTGGAATTGTAGCAACAATTCACCGGAGTGAGGATCGCTTGGCCCCAATATACTAGTCGCTACGCCTGAGTGAGTTTACGAAAATGTAATGAGCGAAAATTTTGTATACCTGCTACCTACAGCGTCTCACACTACCCGTTCCCGCCCAACTTGTGCCGCTTGCCAATGCCGCATGTGCCGGATGGGTGAACGGGACGTAGCTTTGCCACTATCTACTTCCGAGTTCCAGATCCCGCTGTCGATAGCTGACGGCCGAAAGTGGGCAACACCGACCTGCGGACGGCCGAAGTCGGCAGATGATCTGAGCTTGATCTGAGCACTGGCGCCGGAGACCGTTGGGACAGAAGACACGAGACGCAGCCAAGGCGAGAGGCAAGAGGAGAGGCAAGAGGAGGCGGCCAACTACGGGCAACGGCCCTGCAGCTGGGGTATGGCATATCGGCACGAGAAATCCCTAGCTGCCGAGAGCCTGAGCCGTACAAGATAAGTAACGGTCCCGGACGGATGTCGTGAATAAAATATAAGCGAAAAGGAACCACAAATAAGCGGAACTTTAATTTAGAATGCCCATTTGCATCCGCGTCAACGCGCAGCAGCCTGAAATCAGTCCGAGATACTTGAGAGTTGAAAGAAACGAGAACCTCCTCCTATGGCACAGGGACTGGATAATGGCAGGACGATGGTCGCAATGGTTGACGTGGCGAAGCAGCACCGACGCGGGGGTACTTTGGCGGGACGCGGGGATGATGGTAGCGTGGTGAGAAGAGGTAGATATCAGATGCGGCGCCGGAAAAGGAAATCGTACTTTATCGTCTACTTTATAAAGCCTGATACTCGTCCGCTCTCTCATTCACAATGCCCCACCCCGACCTCTATAGATTCTTCGCTCTCAACTCAGAATGGGCCAAGCGCGTCGAGAGCCAGGAGCCCGCCTTCTTCAAAGACTCCACCAAGGGTCAGACACCCCAGGTGTGTGTCCTCGACCTCGACGCCTCGCCGACCGTGGACTCACAGAGATTCGCTCAGGTCCTCTGGATAGGCTGCTCCGACTCGCGCGTTCCCGAGTCTGTCATCACCGCCGTTCGCCCGGGCGAGATATTTGTGCACAGAAACATCGCAAAGTGGGTCCAGCGGCGTACCTGTCGTGGCGCCCCTGCTAATTTTACTGTGCCAGCCAATTCCAGCTAGAGGACAACAGCGTGCAGTCTGTGCTCACATACGCCGTGGAGCATCTGGGTGTTGAACACGGTGCTTTCTTTCTCCCTCGTGCGCCATAGCCATCCCAACCTTTCGCTCCGTTTAGTCGTCGTCGTCGGCCACACCGAGTGTGGAGGTGCCGCGGCGTGTTTCGGTGCTGCATGTTCCCCCGCCTTCTCCGCCAGTGCAGAAACCTGCATAATCGACCCCCGCCTCGCCCCTGATGCGCCGCTCAACCAATGGTTAACGCCGCTCACCAAACTCGTCGCGTCCCTCAAGCTCTCCAGCGTGCCCCAGGCGGAGGCGCTGCCGCTGATCGTCGAGGAGAACGTCAAGATGCAGGTCGAGAACCTGTGCATGGCACAGACGATCGTGGACGCATGGACACACAAGAGCAGGCAGGGCAAGGACGTGTGGGTGCATGGCTGGGTCTACGACCTGGCTTCGGGGCAACTACGAGACCTCGACATCTCGCGCGGGCCTAAATAAGATATCGTCGCATATACATACCCCTTGTAAATAATCTTGGAACCTGATTTAGAATACATGCTCCTCGTTCTAAACGCTCACTGCGATGGCTCTCTGCGTGGAAATTGCGTCTTATAACACCAATCTGCAAGGCGACAATGGCGTCCCCCAGGACCTCGTCGACTGGCTCAGCCCGACTCTGCAGGTCTCCGCATTTCTGTCCCATCAACGCCCAGCAGATATAATCGGGGTTGGCTTCCAAGAGCTCCTTCCGCTGCACCTCGGCCGTTAGCACACCAGTACTTTGAGGCCCGTTGAAGCTAAATAACAAACCACAGTCTCTGGACTCTCGAACAAGGTCGTGGACGCCCGTTGCGCTCATATCCTTGCGCAGCTTGAGGAAAATTCTCTCAAGAACGAGGCGTATGCGCTCGTTGCAAAGGTCGTCAACGGGGGTGTCGCACTCCTCGTGTTTGCTCGCGATGCTAGTGCCGCACGGAAGGCGTGTGATGTACACACGAGCTGGACGGGCTCTGGCCCCGGCTACATGTCGAACAAGGGCGCGGTGGGCGTGCGCTTCCGCGTACCCAGCGAGGAAGGCGGTCCAGGCGAAACCTTCACGTAGGGCTGCCTCTTCCTTTCTGCACTCTCCTCGCCCTGACGCTGCAAAGTTTTGTATGTGCGCACCTTACGGCGCACGCAGAGAAACTGGCAAACCGGATCGCCGACTGGCACCACATCGTGGGCTCGTTGCTCTTCCCTTCGCCCGCGGGCACCCGGACAACGCTCTACGACACCTCGCACCTCTTCCTGCTCGGTGACCTCAACTTCCGCGTCGATCTGCCGCCCGAGCACCCGCTCAAGGGTGCCTCCTCGCACGACATTGGGCAGGCGCTTACGAGCCAGAGCGAGCGCGACGAGCTGAAAGAGTACGACCAACTGTTGCGGGTGCGATGTGACTCCGCCAGTCGCGCGTTCGTCGGGCTTCGTGAGGGCGAATTCTGGAATTTCAAGTGCAGCTACAAGTACGAGCTCGGATTCGTGGACAAGTATAGGTGCGCACTGTGTCCGGGCCGTCTTTCGATGTTTGCTGAGTGAGATAACACAGCAACAAGCGCACACCGTCGTGGACGGACCGTGTACTCTACACGACGTACACAGACTCCCCCGACACGCCGGATAAATCTGGTATAACCAACCTGCTGTACACCTCTATACCTGGGTACACCACCTCTGACCACGTCCGTCGGCGTTTATTTTCTTTTGGTCCTGGACTCAATATTCTCCTCTCAGAAACCCATCGTCTCTCTCCTTCTCCTCCCGCCGCCGCCGCAGTCCGACCCGCCAGCCGCCGCGCCCCCTGTGCTGCGCCTACCTGCACAGTACACCCCCGTCCCTGACCCGCACGCAAACCTCAAACGGTACACGGGCCGCGTGCTCGACCGCGCGGTCGGGCGCGTTTGGTGGTTCCTCACGCTGCTCGGCGCTGGGTCACTGCTCGTGGGCGTGTTCAACTTTGTGCTCGGGCTCGGTGCGTGGGGGTGGTGGCGCTCTATCAAGTTGAACGAGGGAGATGGCGGTGGCCCCGTGTAGTGTCTAGCGTGGTGATTTGATTACTTCTCTGCAGTGTTACGTTGCTTTTGTTGTATACCCTCAGAGCAAGCTCCGATTTCCGAGGCGAGTAAGTAGGCGCCCATATCCCGGCCGTAATGCGATCTAACCACGTTCTGCGGCGTGCGCGACCACAACCGTGCGCAAATGTATGACCCGAATCCATGCGAGAAGGTTGTAAAAAACGACTTAACCGTTACATATGGAGTACAAATGTGTTTGTATGATATTTAGTACAGCGTAATACAATACAGAGACATCTGGTTCATTCCGACGCGAACAGTTTACTTATTCCCAAGGCCGATCGTATCCTTGGTCTGCGAACACGTATTAAGATCGTGCTTTGGTTTATGGAAAAGATCCAACCTTCTGCAGCAGGGACTCGTCGTTCTGGTTTGAGTTACCAGAGACGGCATCGCCAGCCTTCTGGGAAGTGCTCTTCTCTCCCTGGGGCTGAAGGGTGGAGGCGATGCTGTCTCCGGTGCCCTTAACGTGGTCACCGACCTGTTCAGTGGTGGATTTCTGGCTGTCGGGCTAGAGTTGTCCTTTAGCGGCGGGCCAAGCGGTTGTGTGGACATCACCGACCTTGAGAGCGGCGCCGGCCTTGTCGGTCATGCTTTGGCGGGCGTTGTCAGACATGTTTGTGATGTACTGTGGCGGTAAATGAGCAAAGAAGTGGAAGAGAGAATGAGAACTGC